AGGCATTGAAACCGAGACCCTTTGGTGCTTGAGCCGATGCTCCATCTACTGAGCCACACCGGCCGGGGCACGGCTGTCATTCCTGAATTTACCAGTTGTATAGAAGGCCAGTCAGAATACAATCGGTGTTTGACATGTTGAGTCTAACAGACAGTATTAACTCATATAATCGTCACACTAACCCTATGATGTATGTTCTGTTATTATGATGATCCCCACTTTCCAGATTCCCAAGGCACAGAGAGGTTCCTCATCTTTCTCAGGGTCACACAGCTCATAAGTAAGAGAGCTGGAGTACGAACCTAGGCACTTGGGTTCCAGATTCTACACATTTACCCATTAAGTCCTGTCAGAGCTCAGTCTCCTCATCAATACACTGGGGATAACAGGACCTACCTCCTAGGCTTGTCATGAGGACCAGTTGGGAGATGTGTGAGTGATTGGCATGGCACCTGGCATGGGAAGGGCTTGGTCAACAGTAGCTTCTTTTTTTTTTTAATATATTTCTTTATTGATTTCAGAGAGGAAGGGAGATGGAGAGAGAGATAGAAACATCAACTATGAGAGAGAATCATTGATAGGCTGCCGCCTGCACACCCCCTACTAGGGATCGAGCCCACAACCCAGGCATGTGCCCTTGGCCGGAATCGAACCTGGGAGTCTTCAGTCTGTAGGCCGACGCTCTATCCACTGAGCCACGCTGGCTAGGGCAACAGTAGCTTCTTGTTGCTGCTGCTGAGTCTCCTCTATCCCATTCTAGTTCCACATCACGTTCAATTTTGGGGTACATTCCTCTTTGACACCCCTGCGCGTTTCTCTCTTTACTTAACCAAGGTGTTAAGCGTGACTCTCGCGCTGTTGTGTTCCATTAAACCAGAAATAAACTAGTCGATGTTCATCTTGAACTTTGCCACCTGAATGTAATGTTCACATGTTCATTTCCTACATTAAAATCTTTTTGGTGGGGAATTTGTCCTGTTGAGCAACTAGCCATAGGAGTTCTAACATGTTTCAGAGAGGTCGGTCAATAAAATAGCACGTGAGTGTATTTTTCAAAAAAGAATCCTACGTGCAGCATCTCTGATGAAAGCCAGGCAGCCTTCGTTTGGCATCTGCCCAGTGCATTGTGGGACAGCTCCCAGCTCTCTGCTTTGTCCGAGGTTGGAGGCACCGCGACACGCTCTGGAGACCTGGGCTCTGCATCATGCTGTTCTCTTCTCTTCCAGACCTTGGCGCCCGCCATCAACTGGCTGCCCTTCCTCAACGCCATCTTCTCCCCTGTGGAGATCAATGCGTCCGAGCCTATCGTGGTCTACGACAAGGAGTACCTCAGCCAGGTCTCCGCCCTCATCAACAACACTGACAAGTGGTGAGGGCACTGGGCGGCCTGGGGCGGGCCTCTTCTCAGGCAGCATGGCCGGGCGATGACAGACTGACTCAGGAAAGTGGGCCCTGGCGTTGGCTCTTATGAGAGGCAGCAGGGCACGTGCCGTGGTTATGAACGCAGGTTCAAATCCCAGCTCCCCACCTGCCAGCCTTGGAGCCTCGAGCACGTTTCTTACCCTTTCTCGGGTTCATTTTCCGAATCCATAAAATGGGGGTACAAGTGGCACCTACCCTGTGGGGTTGTGGTGAGACTTGAGTGAGATAACCCATGTGCCGTGTTTTCATATAGTGCCTGGACGCGAAATGGGCCCAGGAAAGGTTAGTTCGTATTAGTATTTATGATGTTTTCTTAAACTTTAAAGATTTGTTGTAGAAATTTTTGAAAGCTACAGAAAAACATTATATTTACCCAGAATACGAATGTAGATCTTATGGGATATGTGTGTGTTTGTGGGTGTGCACATGTGGAGAGAGAGAGCATGTATGTGAGAAAAGGGCAGAGATGAGTTTCTAATGCACATCCCTTTTTCCCCTGTCATTGTGACTCGAGGTATGGTCTGCTTTTCACTGGACTAGTTTTTAATTGATTTTTTTGGAGAGGTGGGGGAGCATCAGTTTGTTGTTCCACTTATTTATGCATTCATTGATTGGTTCTTGTATGTGCCCTGACCGGGATCAAACCTGCAACCTTGGCATATGGGGATGACTGAGCTATCCGACCAGGGCCTCCCTTGACTTTTTAAAAAATATATATATTTTATTGATCCCGACCAGGGCCTCCCTTGACTTTTTAAAATATATATATATTTTATTGATTTTTACAGAGAGGAAGGGAGAGGGATAGAGAGTTAGAAACATCGATGAGAGAGAAACATCGATCAGCTGCCTCCTGCACACTCCCTACTGGGGATGTGCCCACAACCAAGGTGCATGCCTTTGACCGGAATCGAACCTGGGACCCTTCAATCCACAGGCCAACGCCCTATCCACTGAGCCAAACCGGTTAGGGCTCCCTTGACTTTTATCATAAGCATTTTATCCATGTCATCCCAAACCCTCTGCAGACCTCCTTTTTCGTGGCTACATAGTATTCCACTGAGAAAACTGGTGCCTATTTACTCACTCCTTCCCCTGCTGGTTCCAGTTTGAGGCTCACAGCACTTATTGAGCACTTGTGGTGTACAGATTAATGCACTAGGCCAGTGATGGCGAACCTATGACATGTGTCAGAGGTGACACGTGAACTCATTTTTTTGGTTGATTTTTTTTGTTAAATGGCATTTAAATATGTAAAATAAATATCAAAAATGTAAGTGTTTTACTATGGTTGCAAAGATCAAAAAAATTCTATATGTAACACGGCACCAGAGTTCAGTTAGGGTTTTTCAAAATGCTGACATGCCGAACTCAAAAGGTTCGCCATCACTGCACCAGGCACTGAGGGCTTTTCAGACCGAGGCTCTGCCCTGAAAGTGACAGTCCATGTGCTTAGAGAGCATTCATTACCTGACAGACAGACGGGGCCTGGGAAGAGCACGTGGGATCAGAATGTTGGGTGTGAGCGCACCCTAGAGGTCAGTGGGGGGAGTGCTGCAACATTTCCAGTCCCGGGCGCCTCTGAGCATGTCTTGTCTCCTCTGGCCCCAGCCT